TATAGCTCTTGGGCTAACTGGGATTTAAGTATGTAGCAGCCCATAATTAGGAAATACTCCTTGCAACACTTCAGACTTTGGATTTTCAAATCAGAGATGCTCAACCAGGAGGTAAATATCCCCAAATCCAAAACACTTCTGGTCGGAAGCATTTTGGATAAAGGATACTCAACCTACATCAGAAAGCCAAATAAAAAAACAAAAACCTGTTTATTTAGACCATATTACATGCCATGAGTTGTCCTAAGAAAGAAAGAAATAATGAAATAAATCATAGTCTTCTAATATTTGTGGCTTAAAATATTCCTGGCTTTATTTTTTTTTAATTCCTTAATTTTTTATTCCTGGTAGCATGACCACAATTTACAGGGCAATATACCTGATATAATGAAAAGAAAAAGACAAAGACAAAGCTACAACAGATAAAAGACCTCAGGAATGTACATCTGATTGACACTACATTGCATTAATCAATGGCTGCACTTTTTCCAAACTGAGGCCATGACAGTCCTGAACAAGAAGGGTTTCCTGTTTAAGCTGCAGTAACTTTTCTGACTATGGATCATCATTCCTGCTGTGGCAGATTTTTACAGTTCCTCTAATGCATTTGGGACGACTGTCTCAAAGTAACCTGCACCTTTCCTGACAACTCCTCGCTCTCTCTCCTGCTAAGAACTGTAGCCCTTTTCTGTTGTTTTTAGAACCTTCTGCTACCATTTTCACCACTTCCACCACCGGATCCATAACCACCACCATATGGACTGCCCGAGCTTCTTCCACCAAAACTGCCCCCTTTCATGGGTCCATAATTTAATTGCTGTTGTCCACTATAAATCATTATAGTTCCCACCACCACCATAGTTACCACCTCCAAAATTTCTTCCTTCATTGTAACCATCATATCCTCCTCCACCACTATATCCACCAGCTTGGTTTCCATATCCTGGTCCACCATCACCATAGCCCCCTTTACTACTGTAACCAAGACCACCGCCATAGTTCCCACTGTCACCTCCAAATCCATTGTATCCACCATCGCCTCCTCCATAACTACCTCTGCTGCCACCACCTCCACCACCATATCCTCCTCTCCCACCAAAGTTTCCACCACAGCCAAAATTACCTCCTTCACCTCCAAAGTTTCCTCCCCGACGCATAAAGTTGCCAGATCCACCTCCACGACCTCTTTGTGATTCAGCAGACTGCATCTCTTATTTAGAAAGGGCCTTTTTCACTTCACAATTATGCCCATTAATAGTGGGGTATTTCTGAACAACAATTTTATCAACAGTATCATGATCATCAAAAGTTACAAAAGCAAATCCTCTCTTTTTTCCACTCTGCCTGTCTTCCATAACCTCTGTGGTTTCAATCTTGCCAGACTTTTCAAAGTAGTCTCTCAAATTATATTCTTCTGTATCTTTTTTAACGCCACCAAGAAAAATTTTCTTCAGTGTGAGATGGGCACCAGGGTTTACAGAATCCTCTCTTGAAACAGCTCTCTTTGGTTCCACAACACGCCCATCGACCTTGTGTGGTCGAGCACACATTGCTGCATCCACCTCTCCCACACAAAACAAAGCCCCTGGAACATTTTGTTTGGGGATCTCTCACTACCACACAATCTGTGAATGTGCCCCATTTCTCAAAATGTTCTCTTAAACTATCTTCTGTAGTTTCAAAGCTCAGACCACCAATAAACAGTTTTCTCAACTGCTCTGGTTCCTTTGGATCATGGTCCTCTATTTTGAGACTGGACTCGCCTCTTCCAACTCAAGTTCAATCCCTGGCTTCATTAAAAATAAAGAATTCCCTAGGTCTTCATTTTCCTTTTTTTTTTTTTTTTCTCTTAGATGAAGAGATTGGGCTAGGTATTTGTAAATAAATATTACCTGACTGAATAAATGTCTCTTTCAAATCCTGTATACTATTTGGGGTGGAATGTATATCCAATCTTCCCTCAAGTGTTAAAAGTCATCAGACACAATTCCTTTTGAAACTTAGTCATTCACACTTAAAGAGTAATCATTCACACCTAAAACAAATTTAAGGTGAATTCATTCACCTATTAAACAACTATTTGCTGAACATATAGTATATGCAGGAATCATGCTAGGTGCTAGGTCCATGGCAGTAATCAGTGACTTCATGGAGCTTACAGTGCAGTAAAGAAGACAGATATCATTAAACAAATAATTAAATAGGTAATTGATTACCATCGTGAGGAGTGCTATCAAGAAGTATGTGTGGCGCCTCTTGGGCACATGTCTACCCCAACATACCTCTTATAGGAGTATCAGCTCTTGGTGGCTCTTTCCTCCAGGATGGGACAAAAACTTTGATGTAGGTGTGTCCTCTGTCCCTGAACCAGTCCACAGCCAGCTGGATTCCTCGGCAAGAGAAGATTTCTTTATTTCCATGGCTGCAATGAGAAAACAAAGAAATTGGTTAGAGACACAGAAAGTGTTCCTGGAATACCCTGGATCCCAATCTCATAATCGAAGGAACTTGGCAAATTGGCATTTTAAAGGCAGTTCATTCTTTCATTCTCAAAATCTACCCCTTAACTAGAACTGCGTAGTTGTGATAAGGACACAGAGCGTCTTGGGCTCTGAGGGCAATACATTCCAAAGATTGACAGACAAGATTCCTCTCTTCAGCTGAAGCTAACAAGGATGACCCCAAGTGGATAGGAGAAGCCATCTGCAGAACTGTTCTCACCATGACAGATGGTTGTAAATGTGTTAATGGGCGTCCCAAGTTCAAGCAAGGAGGCCAATGCCTCACAAATTCCACCAATGACAGAACAGAGGCAATGAATAGACAGTGGTGTGAGAACAGCAGGGCCTCAAGGGCCTGACTGAAGACTTTTCCTTTTTCCTAAGCAGAACAAGAAGCCATAGCAGGAGTTTAAGATTGGAGATACGTGTGATATGATGTGATGTGATGTGATGTGATTTTCATTCAAGAAGCCCAATCTGGCAGCACAGAGGACAATACATTAGTAGGGAGCAAGACCAGGTGTAGAGTACCAGTTAAACTGTTGTAGTCACCAGAGCAAAGATTGATGATGACTTGGACAGAGCTCATGGCGGATGAGGGAGAAAGGCAGGTGAACTTGAGAAATATTTGGAAGGTAAAATCTGCAGAACCTGGTGACTGATGGATGTTGGGGTGACAGAGAAGACATCAAGGATGATGGTGAGCTGTGGCTGACACAGGGAATTCTGAAGGGAAAAGGTTCCACAGGAAAGATCACGAGTCTGGTTTTGGCTACCATTGAGCTGTTTCCTTGCAATCTCCTCTAATCGGAGAGCTTAAGGAAACAGCAAAGGTTCAGGCAGAGGCCTGAGTGATAAAAGTCGCAGGTCAACTCTACTGGATCCACAGCACTAAGGAAATTACCTGACTGCCTGGAGAGAAAGGGAGTGGCCCAGGGTTGGGCCTAGAAGAAATGTGGAATGTAGCAACTCAATTTAGCAAGTGGAGGAGGACAATATTATGCAAGGGACAGAAGGGATGTGTCAGAGAAGTAGAAGGAAAATAGAAGGGGTTGCTTCATGTGGTTGGGGGGTACAGTGGGGGGAAGGGTGTCATTAGTTGTTACACTAGTGCTGGATGGGGTCTGAGGGGTCAGGGGACCCTTTCCTGGGGAGGTGAGGAGGAAGATCAGGAGAAGGAGGGGAGTGAATGGACTGCAGTTGTGGGTGGAGGCAGGGCACCACCAGCGCACAGGGCTGCTGGAAGCTGGGGGGTTGGAGGAAAGTGGTGAGGGGAGAACGAGCTAATTTGCAGCCAGGCCCTGTCCCATCCACGGCTAAGTCAGTTGATTTTGCCTTCTCAATATTGCAAATCTATTCACTTGTCTCCCTCCAGCCAAACCTCACTGTCCCAGTGACCAAGTCTAAGGGACGTCTTCAGGGGTCGCTCGGCTGCCCCCTTCCCTTGGCTTTCATGAAGCAGCCCCTTCTATTTTCCTTGAACCCCAGCAGGGCTCCCAGTCTGGCAGTAAGGCACCCCCAGGAGCCCTGGGGCCAACTCCCAGCACTCAGACGGAAAAGCAGACCCCAAGAGCACCCACTCGTCTGGGCCTTCCTTCATGGACACAACGGCAACTTACGAACTCGGCTACAATAAGGCTGTGTGCTGGGTGCTGAGGAGAGACATCACCCAGCTTCTTGAAGCTCATTTTTAAGGTCTCTAGAGAGTTCTGTTTGCCAGCCCACTCTAAACATTTTATCTCATTAAATCATTACACCACGCTCTTGAGGAAGTGACCTTCATCCTCGTTTTACCCTTATGGAAGCTGAAGCAAATAAACACGCCCTGCTCTCTGATCTCCTGGCAGCCTTCCACACCTACACAGGCTCACAGCAGGTCCGGCACTGAGGACTCGCTCCCAAGGCCCTAGGAAGAGGAAACAGGAGGCTGCGAATGCCAGGAGGGTGGAAAGGGGAAGTGGGTTGGTGCCGGAAGCAAATTTTGCCTACAGGACAACAGTGCCTGGGGCAGCCACAGTTAGAAAGCCTGTCATTTACAGTAACTAGACAATCTTATTGCAAACCACTGTGTCTTCAACTGCAGCCCAAGAAGTCCCTGCAGAAGTTAGAGACAAAACAGCCCTGTGGGGAGCAAGCTTGTGGCTGTGAGAGGGAAGATGCACAAGATTCCTGAGGGGTCTGGGTATGAAAGGACACTCTGTTTTCTCTGTTTCTTCTTTGGGGTTAAACTGCAAACACTCTGACCCCTCTTACCAGGCGATCCCTCTTCAGCTCAAGTTAGGGGGAAGAAAGCTGGTGAGCAGGGGCTGCTCTAGGTTCTCATCTTATCGGAGGAGAAATGAGTGCAGACAGATAGGAGCTCAAGGCTAAGGCAGAGCAGATTCAGGGGCTCAGAAACAGATCCAGCCCCAGCCCCTATGTAAATCCCCCACACATCTCTTTTCCACCAACTCAAGACCCACTGGAAGGGGCATGTTGAAAACTGAGAGAGGCATGGCTGCAACCTGAACTCTCTCCTCACTGACTCTAGAATAAGCCAGAGTCTTCTGAGTTTTCTAAGAGTTTAAAAGTGTTAACTCAAACAAAAAGCCCGGTACCCTCCAAAATGAGGACACAGTCGAATGACACCCTGCTCTGGGGCAGTAAGAGGATGTGAAATTAGCAGGTGGTTTCCCCCACGCTTGTGCTTCCAATCCTGCCTTTTCTAGATTTGCCTACAGAATGTAAAACAGGTTGGCCACTTGTGAGTTGGCTTGTCCCAGGCAAGGAAATGCTGCAAGAGTTGGCTCCTGAGAACTCGGGTTCTTCCCAGACACCACCATGCAGCTTTTCAGATGCCTTCAGTGAAAGCCGACTTTAAAAAAAAAAAATACTGCTGGACATTTTTCTTAGGGCCACATGTCTATTGACACGGGGATGCAGCTGAGTGACCCAAGCTCCTGACCTCTCTGTGTCTCTTGTCTCTCTTATCTCTCTTAAAGGGATGGAGACTGGACTTGGAAATCAGTCTGCAGGCTGCCTGTCAACCAGAGCTACTATTCCCCACCCATGTGATGGCCTGAGGGGCCCCAGCCCTTTGGCAGCAGCAGGAATGGGTCCTGGCACCAGCCTTGCAAAGGGCCCTTAGCAAGGGAGAGTGGAGGCCTCACCAGGCTCACTCTGCAGGGCAAGAGGTCTGGCTCTAGAACAAAGGCCTCTGGGGTCAGGGTCTCCCACCCTGCAGCCCTTTCTAAGACCAGACTGGGAAAGAGTAGGAGGAATGGGAACCCCTGGGGATAATTTGAGACACTGGACAAGCTGCTGAATCCAAGTTGCCCCTTATTGCTCTGGGACCTCAGGCAAGTTACTCATTCTCTCTGAACCTCTAAAGTAGTAGAGAAATTCCTTTATAAGAAAAAATGTAGTTACTTCTTTCAAGCATATATAAAATATCCACCGTGGGCGGGGTATGGTGGCTCTCGCCTATAATCCTACCACTTTGGGAAGCCAAAGTGGGAAAATTGCTTTGGGACAGGAGTTCAAGACCAGTCTGAGCAAGAGCAAGACCCCATCTCTACTAAAAATAGAAAAATTAACCCAACTAGATGGCCTGAGCCTGTAATCCTGGCTACTTAAAAGGCTGAAGTAGAAAGATCCCTTGAGCCCAGGAGTTTGAGGTTGCTATCAGCTCTGATGACACTACTGCACTCTAGCCTGGGTGACAGAGCGAGACTGTCTCAAAAACCTAAAAATAAAAATAACTACTCTGAATCTTAGCATATTAGAGATAAAAATCTATTTAAGGTTATTTTGGTCCAACCTCTAAGTTCTGTAAATAGAGCTCAAAAAAGTCAGGTAGGCCTGTCTTGGTGGCTCACGCCTCTAATCTCTGCACTTTGGGAGACCAAAGCAGGAAGACTGTTTGAGCCCAGGAGGTGGAGCTTGCAGTGAGCTATGATCACATTATTGCACTCCAGCCTGGACAACAGAGTAAGACCCTGTATCAAAAAAAAAAGTTGTTTTAAGTCAGGTGACTCTCTTGAGGCTACACAGCTAGAAGGCTGAAAAGGGAGAGCTGTATAGTCCAGGAATAGCCACTACCACATGTGGCTAGTCACATTTAAAATTCAGATTAATTTAAAAAATAATTTAGAATTCAGCTCCTTGGTTACGCTAGACACGGGTCAGGTGCCCGATAGCTGCATGTGGGTGGCGAGTGGCCACCCTAAGGGACAGAGTAGGTATGGCACTCTCCCCTGTGTCAGGGAGTTGTATTGTATGGCCCTGGGCTAGCGGTGCCTGTGTTCTGTCCCCTGCCTCTGACCTTCCCAGCGTGTTATGTGGGTTACAGCAAGAGGTCCCACAAAACCAAGGGCAGTCATAAGATCTGCTGCCTGGGTTCCTGTCACAAGCTCTCCCCTGTTTTGGCTTAGAATTCTTACATTGACCCATCCCTTATGAAATAGTAGATGATGCCATCAGTCGCATTTGTAAGAGCCCATTTTGTACAAAAAGCACTTGGCTAGTGACCCACTCTGCTGACCTCCAGAGAGCAGCAGCCCGGTTTCTAGGTTCAGCCATGACAAAACACTTTGGGTTAAATGAACTGAAGCACTGGGAAGAGAAGCCCATGGCAACTTCTACCTATGGTGCCTATGGTAACTTCTACCTATGGGGAGCATGCTGACTAATCCAGTGTTAACCTTGGCCAAGCCCATCAACTCCAGTCCTGTGTGACTGAGAGGTTTCCATACAAGGACTGCTGGCCCCTCTCACATTCTCTGTGTTAACACGGGGCAGGGGGCTTAGTGCCTCCCAAAAGACACAGGAAAAAAAAATCTCTGACCATAGAGCATGATATTCTCTGTAACTTCCTGCTCTACACCAGTGGTTCCAGCATTTTAGGGTCATAGATCCTTTAAGTATGAATCGTTCCCCAGCAATGACTCTTTCCCCAGAGAAACAGAAATGCACGTACACATGCAACATAGTGTGCATCATTTCAGAACATTGCTGGCTTTGAAAAAAGAGGGGACCACGTGCCAAGGAATGCAGGCAGTCTCTGGAAGGTGGAAAAGACAAGAAAACGACTCTTCCCCAGGGCTTCCAGAAGCCCACCCTCAGCTCCAGGGAACACAGCCACAGCCTGCCAGGAAGTGACATTCTTCTCATCTGCTCAGGATGGGAGAGGCTTTCAGCTCTCCTCATCACTCCAGGGCCAGCCAGCACGTAAAGCACTATCACCTTCAAAAACAAAAAATGGGCCAGCTGCAGAGGCTCATGCCTAGAATCCCAGCACTCTGGGAAGGAAGATTATTGAGGCAAGGGGTTTGAGACCATCCTGAGGAAGAATGAGACCCCCATCTACTAAAAATAGAAAAATTAGCTAGCGTGGTAGCACATGCCTATAGCCCCCAGCTATGTGGGAGGCTGTGGCAGGAAGCTCACTTGAGCCTAGGTGTTTAAGGTTGCAATGAGCTACGATGTGCTCTCTGTACTCTAGCCTGGGGGACAGAATGAATAAAACTCTGTCTAATAAAAACGGGGAGGTGGCGCCCGTAGCTCAGTGGGTAGGGCGCTGGCCTCATACACCAGGGCTGGTGGGTTTGAACCCGGCCTGTGGCCAACTAAAACAATGACAACTGCAACCAAAAAAAATAGCCAGGTGTTGTGGCGGGTGCCTGTAGTCCCAACTACTTGGGAGGCTGAGGCAAGAGAATTGCTTCCACCCAAGAATTTGAGGTTGCTGTGAGCTGTGACACCACGGCCTCTACCGAGGGTGACATAGTGAGACTCTGTCTCAAAGAAAGGGAAAAACAAAAACCCAGAAAATGGCAATGTCGGCAATACTACAAAACAGTGAAAGAGAATTTTCAGAAACTGTGTTTCTGAGGTTAATTGAATTTTGAGGTCAACAGATAATAACGAGACAACATTTTGGGTTTCAAACATCCTTTCCCTGTAAAAGGTGAGGACTCACTTCAGTCTCTTTCACGACTGAGGATCTGGCAGACCCTGAGAGACATGTGTCCTGTTGAAACTCTTGTAGGAAGACATCACAGACATGGCTATGGAAAGGGAAGGGGATAGGTAGAACCCAGGACGCCCACTCTTTCTTAGAACCTGCCTTTGAAAGGGACAAATTAAATTAACGATTAGGTGGCTGCTGTGCAATTTGTCTCTTTTTCCTCACTACTGGGGTTTGGTGACGGGGTCCAGGGGGAGCTGTTTGCGTATGTACACAGATATGTGTGTGCACCCCTATATGTACACACACAGAGAAGGCACACAGGTACTGTCTTGTGGTTAGCTGAGGTGTTTTGGAGGCAGCCAGTGTGTGAATACAGTTATGCTCTGACGTTCTTCATAAGAAGTCTGAGTGATGGTTTCCATTTGTAACCCACACAGATTGAACATGAAGACATTAAAATGGTTCTCATTGTAGGAGAGGGGGGAATACATGGGGAGACTAACAGATCTACCCAGGACACATTATGGTTATGTGCAAATACAGGATGTGGTTTAAGTTTGAATTCCAAGTAATAACAGGGCCTCCCATCAAAAGAGAACCCACCACCATTCCTAAAAAATGGCCTGGTCCCCAAAGAGAGAATGCTGACATTTCTCCCCTGGAGAAGTCTTTTTAAATCTTTTCTGCTATTGGGATTTGGAACCACAGAGTTCATATAATCTCAGGGCTGGGAAGGTCTTGGATTTAAGCAACATCATCTTACATTCAAAGCCTTTAACACTCTCAGGATACACCACAAAGAGCGTGTAGGGACAGCCCCCAAGGCTGGGCCATCTTGGGTTGAACCATTTCAAACTTCTGCCCTGCAATGCTAACTCCAAAGGGTGCCCAAATGCCCGGGAAAACTCTGGACTCCTCTGTTTCCTCACTGGGTGCTGAAGACAACTGCTTTTCTGGATTCCCACTTGTGGGTGGGAGTACTCAGCTTTCGAAAGGGGAAGCAATGTATTCACCTCTGTGAGTGAACAATTTCCTAACTAAACCAAGTGGTAGAATAATCCACTTGTTTGAGCAATGCCCTTCCTGGCCCAGAGAAGAGTTGGGGGAGGCTGCAGAGACTCCCTTACAGGGGAGCTCAGCCAAGAGAGACCAAGGAACAAACCAAGAAACAAACCACGCTGCAGTCCTCAAAACACAAGGAGATGACATTAGCCAATGTTCGCAGTTTGGGGGCCACAAACACCTCTCTCCCACCTAGCAAGGGAACCCCTACTCCACAGAAGGCTTCCAGCCACTAAAGTATGTCTTCCCACCTGGTCCTCCCTCCCTTGTGAGACACAGAAGCGGTGTCTACCCGTCTCTTTCACTGAAGAGGAAATAAACCACTGTTTGCAGAGTCTCCCCAATGCTTAGGGACAGACTCCAGACAAGCGGCCCGTATCTGCCAACTCCTGGAGTCCTGCCTCGACTCTTCCCCCGTTACCACCGCCTCGCCGGTAGAAGGCTGCTCCCCTGCCTGCATAGAGAACAGCTCCCCTCCAGAACACTTACTCCGTGTCAGGCACCATCCTGGTATTTTGTGCAGCTCAGATTCTCACAACTACCCTCTAGGGAGGTTCTATCTCAATCAGACAGATGGAGAAAGTGCAGTGCAGCGAGGTTAAGCGACTTGCTTAAGGACGCACAGCTACTTAGAGGTTCAAAGCCCCATCCCCCGGCTCCCAAAGCTCTTTGGAGCAAACGGTGGGGCAGAGGGACAGTTCCCAGGCCCGCGCCCCGCACAGGGTGAAGGGAGGCTACCTCATCGCCACGTTGCTGCCGTCGATCACGATGGGTCGCAGGGAGCTGGCCGGGCCTCCGCCGTCCTCTTCGGGGGCTGCCCCCAGGCCGAGCCGGGCGGCGTCCGGGACCCCGCAGGAGCCCCGGGGCACGAGCCGGGGCGCGGCCGGGCCCTGCGGGGCCTCCGGGCGGCTGCCGGTGCGGATCAGCTCCTGCAGCACGTCGTTGACCAGCGCGCCCTCGCCCAGCTTGCCCAGCACCCTGAGCACGTCCCCGCGGCCGTAGCCCAGCTTCTGGAAGAAGTCCATCTTGCTCTGCCGGTCCATGCCCGGCCGCCGGCCGCCGGGGCGCCGCGGGCATGAGCTGCGGAGAGAGGGCCCGTCAGGTGTCACCCGGAGGCGGCGGGGCCCCCTCCCTCCCGGTCCTATCTGTCAGGAAATCGTGCAGAGCCTGGTCCCTGTGGGGATTTTCGGTTGCTCCGTGCGGTTGGGGAGCCGCACATGCGATCACACTGCTTTTACTAATAATGCTCGTTCTGAGGGACACCGGCCACACGTCCTGGCACCCAGCCAGCACTCGGGACAAGCCAAAGAAAAATTTCCGAGGCTCGGTCATGGACTGACCTGTGTCCTCCCCAAATTCCTATGTTGAAGCTCTCACCCCAAGCCCTGGTCCCTCCCAGTGTGACTGTATTTGGAGACAGGACTTTTAAAATGAGGTCTCTAGGGTGGGCCCTAATCCAGAATGACCGATGTCCTTTTAAGAAAAGGAAATTCGGACACTGCTGCGCACAGAGGGACCACCTTGTGAAGATGCAGCGCGCCACAGTGCAGACACTCCACCCAGACTTCAGCCTCAGAACGGAGACCGTGAACTTCCTCGTGTAAGCCCCAGACCGCAGCGCTTTGTTCTGGTGGCCCTAGGTGACTAAGGGATGCCTCTGGTGAATCCTGCTTCCAGAAAGGCCATGCTCCCCCAAACTCAGCCCTATGCACTGCGTGGCCTTCCCTAGCAATTAACAGAGGCCTCTGCACAGAAGGTCCTATCCCAAACTTGAGCCTTCCCGTGTGCCATCCCTGCCTGGCCTACACCTGTGGGTGGCCCCCCAGAAGGGGCTGTAGCCTGACCGACATTTTCAGAAGGAAGAATAAGACCAAACCAACAGGAACTCTCTGGACACACTGGGTCTCTCTCTCTTTTCTACCCACCAAGACCTACATTTTCCAAAAAACATTTAAAAATTCAGATAGAATCATTTACTGTGAGTGCCAAATTCAAACAGGCAGAAGTATAAAGAGTAAAAAGATGCAATGTCTTTTCATGCAGACCCCGGCCCCCCTGACTCCTCTGCCGTTGGCTTGCATCTCTCCAGCACCTTCTCTATGCATCTATCTGCACGCCAATACACACAAATAGTGCTTTAGGGTTGTTCTGGTTTACTTTACAAAAATTGTGTCATACTATACATATTACTCAGAAACTTGTTTTTCTTATTAAAAATGCATTTTGGAAAAATCTTTCCACGCCAGGTGACCTATTCTGCTGCTCACTGTGTCCCAGTATTTCCGACAGTGCCTAGTATAGCTGAATCTCAATGTGTATGTGTGGATTAATGAATGAGTGAATGAATGAGTGGTGTTCTCCCGCCTGGCAAATGATGGAAATTTGTCTTCCACTTTTCAGTGTTACAAACCATACCCAGTGAACACGCTTGCACAGCTACCTTATTTTTTTTACCTTCAGGGCTTAGTCTTCTACTGAGTCCTTTGCATCATTCACACATCTCTGCTAGATCCCCACTTGGGCATTCTCTGCGGGCCTCTCCCAGAAGTGCAGAACCTGGAGTGATTCTAATAACGGCAATCTGGTAGGCAAAGGGCATTTCACAGCCAACCTCTGGACACAGAGGCTTCTGCCCCAGTCCCCACCTGCTCACCTACCACTCTCCCCTGGCCACTGACAACTGGCGCCACTGCCAAAATACCAAAACTGCCCCCAAGGTCACCAGTCCCCTGCTTACTGCCAGTTCCAACAGCATCTTCAGAGCCCTGGCCTCAAATGACCTCTCTGCCACTTTGACACTGGGGACCACTCCCTGACTTGGTATTTTAAATCAAAAAATTACAGACCATCCCCTTCTTGAAACTGTGCTTCCTTAGGTTGTATGGCTTGGCCTCATTCTCCTCCTAAGTCCTTCCAGCTCTTTCCTCTCTATTTACTCCTTCAGTGTCAGGGCCCTGCCCAGACCCTCCACCAGCCCCCATATTCTGAGTGCCACATAACTATATGCCTGGCTCCCACCACCTACTGAGCACCAGCCACACACACAGTTATGAATCTGTGAGATAAATGCCATGCATGTATTTAAATAAAGTGCTATGGGAACTGTCATTCAACAGACACTTGCCAAGTGCCTACTACAGTGGTTCTCAAAGTGTAGTCCAGGGAACTTTGGGGAACCCCAAGACTTTTGGGGGGAGTTTGTGAGGTAAAAATTATTCTTATAGGCTCGGCGCCTGTGGCTCAAGTGGCTAAGGCGCTAGCCACATACGCCTGAGGTGGCGGGTTCGAATCCAACCCAGGCCCACCAAACAAGAATGACAGCTGCAACCAAAAAATAGCCAGGCGTTGTGGCAGGCGCCTGTAATCCCAGCTACTTGGGAGGTGGAGGCAGGAGAATCGCTTGAGCCCAGGAGCTGGAGGTTGCTGTGAACTGTGATGCCACAGCACTCTACCCAGGGACTAGAGGCTCTGTCTCAAAAAAAAAAAAATTATTCTTATAATAATAATTATAAGATGTAATTTATTGACTTCACTCTCATCATCTCATGAGTGTATGATGGAATAGTCTAGAAACCATGTGTCATATGACATTGCAACAGTTTGAATAAAGAAACAAATATGAAAATGCAGACATTAAACAGATTTGCAAAAATGTAAATCAGTGCCAGTCTTCTTACTAATTTTGTTTTGTTTTGGAAAATAAGGTTATTTTTCATAAAGATATGTCTTTTATGTCAATGTAACTGGTTTTGTTATTTAAAAACTAATGAATTTTTTAAAAAGTTCTTAGTTTTAGTTTCTATTAAATGCATATCCATCAATAGATAGGTAGGAGCTCTTTGATTTTTAAGAATGTAAAGGAGTTCTGAAACCAAAAGTTTTCTTCTTAAATCCACAGCCATTCCAACAAGTATTTCCACGTAGCTGGCTCCAGGTAGTGGCCTACAGACAGGCTGCCATTCTCCTAGGGCACCGCGCAGAAAGCCAGGTGTCTTTCCTCCCTCAGTGTGGCCCTCACAAGCCCCCCTCCTCCTGCGCCTCCCACCCCTCTGCCCTGCTGTCTTCATCCCATACCTGACAACTGCCATGGCCTGTCAGCACTGTATTTCTTTTTCTTTCTTTTTTTTCTGAGACAGAATCTCATTATGTCACCCTTAGTAGAGTGCTATGACATCACAGCTCACAGCAACCTCAAACTCTAGGGCTTAAGCAATTCTCTTGCCTCAGCCTCCCAAGTAGCTGGGACTACAGGTGCCCACCACATCGCCCGGCTATTTTTATGTTGTCATCGTCATTGTTGAGCAGGCCTGGGCCGGGTTCAAACCCTCCAGCCCTGGTGTATGTGGCTGGAGCCCTAACCACTGAGCCACAGGCACTGAGCCTGCCAGCACTGTATTTCTAGAACAAGTCTATGTCACCCCACTGTTCTGAAATATCCTCTGACCCTTCTATCAACCTTATCATCTACCACTGGCCCTCCTGACCCTTTCTCTAAAGCCTTATTGAACTTTTCCTTGCTCCCTAAGAATTCCAGAATGTTCTCATCACTGTGCTTCTTCTTGGGTTTTTTGGGGGTGCGTTGTTTGTCTTTTGTAACAGGGTCTCATTCTATTGCCCAATCTGGAATACAGTGGTGAGATCATGCCTCACTGCAGCCTCAAAATCCTGGGCTCACATGATCTTCCCATTTCCAGAGTACTTGAGACTACAGGCATGGGCCACCATACCTGGCTAATTTTTTAATTTTTTTTGTAGAGATACGGTCTTGCTATGTTGCCCAGGCTGATCTCAAACTCCGAACCTCAGATGATCCTCCCATCTCAGCCTCTGGAATAGCCGTGACTATAGGCATGAGCCACTGCACCCAGCTCAGCATCGAGCTTCTACATATGCTTTCCTCTGTGCTGGGAGTGCTCTCTGTGGCTTGGCAAACTCAGCCCAAACGTCACTCAGAGCCCTGACCCCACAGATAGAAGGAGCAAATTGGTCGTCTACCACAGCACTTTGTTCACACCTCTTAAACAGCACATTTATCTTTTCCTCAAAAGACTGAATGCCTTGGGTACTCTGACCTACTGCCTCAGAATCACCAGCACCTGGCATGCTGCCGGGTATATCTGAGAAGTTCAATAGATTTTTTAAAAAATAAAATAAATAGCTGGGCACAGTCGTTCACGTCTATAATCTTAGCACTCTGGAGGCCAAGGCAGGTGGATTGACTGAGCTCAGGGATTCCAGACTAGCCTGCGCAAGAGCAAGTCCCCATCTTTACTAAAAATAGAAAAGTAAGTTGGATGTTGTGGTGGGCCTCTGTAATCCCACCTATTCAGGAGGCTGAGCCAAGAGGATCACTCAAACCCAGGAGTTTGAGGTTGCTCTGAGCTATGACGCCATGGCACTCTACCCAGAGTGACAGAATGAGATTCTGTCTTAAAATAAAATAAATAAAACACAACAAAAGTTCAAGCTGAAGTTAACCTCCCTCCTCAAATATTTTTTCCACCACCACTCCCCGCCACCCTCCTCATCCCCACCCCCGCCAAAGACCCAAAGAAGAAAATCTCAGCATCACCTCTGACTCTCTTTCCCTCACTCCTACCTCCAGTTAGTCAATGATTCTATTTCCAGGCATTTTCCAGACACACCCTCCCTTCACACTCACACCACAGTGCCCAGCTCATTCGCTCCCGCCCCTGACAAACATTACTGCTCACCTACTTGGCACCAGCACTGTGCCGGGCCCAGCTCTATGAAAACAAAATAATATACAATCCAGTTGCAACTCATTCACGATCTATTCAGGAAAACCGACAAAAATTGTAAACAACAGGTGAGCCATAAATCATGAAGATAAGCACAATACTTTCGATTAGCAAAGTGTGCTTCCAAAACACAGGTGAGGAGCAGCTTATCTTCCCATAAAGGGCCAGGGAAGGCTGGGGCCTCTCTCCTCTGGGTGGTGGCGGGCCTGGCTTTCCCGGGTCAGATGAGGACTGGCATCATCACAGTTGGACCGATCTACCCTCCCGGCGCTTGGCCATCTGCCCCTAGTCTATCCTCACCTTCTCTCTGCCTGGTGACCAATCCTCTCTGGGGAAGGCTGTCCCTTTGGACTGGGGGTCAGCTATGAATGGTCCAGTTCCACGGAGGACACGGACACTCACCCAGCCTAGGCAAACAGCCTCATGCCAGGGGCTGACCACAAAGGCCTCTATGTAGGCTCTTCCCTCTGCCCAAGCACCTGCGCCCCTGGGTGGACCGACTGTACCAGCCTTCCCATTCCTGGCAGCCTCCTACATGCCACCTCCACCCCACCTGCCATGCAACTCTACTGCACTCATCAAGAGAGCGGGGGACGGGGAGAAGGGGTGGGAGAAAGAAAAGAGGGCAGCGACTAAACAGGGGGGAGAGACAAAGGACAGTGACAGGTGACAGGAAGATAAAACACAAAGTTCTGTTCATGTGGTTCTTCATCATTTCCAGGGCTCACATAGAGACCCTACGTGCACCTCCCACCAGGGGAACATGGGGTAGGTACGGGCAGGGAAGCAAGGCTCAGCCCCACACAGTGAAGGTCAATAGCCAGCGAATGGCAGACACTGCCCATCAGTAGGTGCCAAAGATAATCGGCCACTTTGAGTTACGTTCAGGGCGGAGGCAGCATCTCATTATCGCAGAAACTGAAGAACCAAAGCACGGCTGGGTCAGTGGCTTCTCTTTGCTCACAAAGGAACAGCTAGGAGGAGAGCTCATTTTCACTCTGATGCTTTGTACTCTGGTGTGACAGAAACACGAGGATCCGTCACCTGAGGTGGGGCAGGGAGAGCGGCAGCCCCACAGAGCCCATGAGTCACACAGCTCAGGGCTCCTTTCTGAGGAGACTTTTGAAAGGCTGTACATGGGACACGAGAGCTCTTTTCACACAAAATTGACAGAAAGTATTCACCTACTGCAGAAACTCCCCCCTTGAAACTTTAAAGTCAACTTCATTTCCTTTTAAAGCTTCTAAAGAAGGAAGAACCTGGGGTGGGGTGCTATTCTCAGGAGGCTGGGGCCTTGGGTCAGGCCCTCCCCTGCGGATAGGATGGTCTCTGAGCTGCTTCTCTTTCCTTCCTATTTTTAAGACCTTGAAGTATGAACAAGTTCATGTCAGTTTTCTTCCTCAGCCTTGACTGGAAGTCCAGCTCAGATGACTAGAACCCTTAGAACATCCTCACAGCTGCCTCAGGAGGTCTGAGAATGGTCAGCACTTGAAACTTCCTAAGGGCAGCAATCCAGGAGCCTGGCGTTGTGTTTAGGTGGAGAGACAGCAGGAAGGGGAGAGAAGGGGGGTGGAATTTCACAGGTGGGGCCCGGGGAATCAGATCAGATCTTTGTGTTCTAGAATCAGTCATTCAGATGAGGGCCCCTAGGCCAAAGGTCTGTAACCTCTGACTGGAAAAGGTCCTGAGGGAAAGAAAGAAAGAGAAACTGAAAAAGGACAAGAAGGAGGGTCCTAAGATGTGCAGAGAGCCAGGGGCTCCCAGGAGCACAGCATTTTATGGTTGCAAAGTGCATCCTTGTATATTATCTCTGGAAAGCCCTCCGTCTCTGGGAGGGGGAACGAGCTACCTCATTACTCATGTCACAGGTGAAGAAACTGAGGAAAAGAAAGGCTTTGGTGACGGACCCACAGCTAGAATAGGAAAGACTAGACTTCCGGCAGTGGCGCTACCCTGGATGCTTGGGTGCCACTGAAGGGCCACCACTGAGCAGGGCACACACATACCAGCCTCAAAATGAGCGCATTCAGCCCCGCGCCCTGGTCCCCCAAGTCCATTCCTGGGTCACCTCTGCCAGCGCCACGGAAATCCATGACACTACAGGCTCCAGAACTCAGCCACCATGATGTCCTGCCACCAGCTCTCCACAGAGCCCCAGCAGAAATGTCCTGGGTCAGCTCCGATCTGCAGGCCCCCCGTGGAGTTGTCAGTTAAGTTTTGAGGAAGTCACCGAGAGGCAAAGACTTCAGCCCGCGGGACTTGTGTTTTGTTGCCTGGACTTTTTTAGGGTGTCTGTCAGGGTGCGGGGGAGCTTGTCATTATTTTTTTTTAACTGGGGAAAAATACACACAACCTAAAATTTACCATTATAAGGGCGAGGTTAGCAGCATTATGTACATTGATGTGGTTGTGCAACCGTCTCCACCATCCAGCTCCAGAACACTCTTCATCCTGCAAAACTGAAACTCTCCACCGTTGAACAGGGACTCTCCATTTCCTCTTCCCCAGCGCTGGCAACTGCCCTTCTACTTTCTGTCTCTGAACTTGATGACTCCAGCTGGCCCACAGGAGTGGAGTCAAAGAGCATCTGTCCTTTTGTCCCTGGCTTATTACACTTAGCATGACGTCCTTAAGTTTGATCCATGTTTGTCGTGGGCATCAAGGTTTCCTCCCTCTCAGAGGCTAACATTCCTTTATCGGTGTACACCGCGTCTTGTTTATCCGTTCATCCCGCAAGGACACTGAGTGCTTTCTGCCTCTTATTACTGTAAATAATGCTGCCGAGAACATGGGTTGGCCTTTTGCTTTCTCCTTAAACTTGTCCCCTGCTCTTTTGTACTGTTGTGGGTTATTTAGAGGTAGACAGGCCCCATTTAAACCCTGATCTGCATCCCAGAGTGACTCTACCGAAGTCCACATCCCAAGCTATTCACGTGCCAGTATTGGCCCTCCAGAGTCGGCATCATCTGACCTGGGAGAGGGGCTCATACTCTCGGGGAGCACAGCTGGGGTTTGTAATGGCCTCAGGGAATTAGCCAGAACTGTCTTCACCATGGTCAGGCTGACTAGACACACACAAATCACTATCTAGAGTGATAGTGAAGGTGTTCGAGAAGGTGCCTTCACGAGCATGGACAAAGGGTCAAAAGATGCCAAAGAGTTCTACTCCTTGTGACTTCTCAACATTAAACTGTCTTCAAAGTCCACAGAGGTTTGACTTAAACTGAAGAGCTTCCCCTGCTTAATCTTTCCCCCACAAAGCCATCTGGAAATTAAACACAATTTTGCTAAAACGAGAAAGGATTTCACCTAACAGAAATTAAATGTACTTACATTATTTTTCTATTTGAGCACTTAAAATGTTTTAGGGTGTAAGAATCAGATCATTCAGGATAATATTTAACTGAGGATGAGGACGGCTCTCTAACCCACCTTCCTCCTACCCCAGAGATCTGTCACTCCACTCTCAACCCCAGACTGATATCTGTGTGGTGTTGGCCACACTGACTGATGGCCAGGGGACATGTACTCACCAGCAGGGTGTGTCCCGCTGGTCTCCTCCAAGGACGCTTAGTCGACTTTCACACCAATTTTCTCCTGTCAGAGAGAGGCCAGGCCTACAGCAGCCACTGGAGTCAGGGGAAGGCAGCCAGCTTGTGCCACACGGCCACTAGGAGTCACTTCATGCCAGTGTTCACTTCCTGCATGCTGGAGTCACGAGTCACATTCAGCTGCAAAGGTATTATGCTTAAAAAAAAAAAAAGTAAAAGGAAAGGAATAAAGCAATCAAACCAGGGAAGGGACCTGAAGTTTGCACCTCAGCATGAGTCACTGAATCAAAGTTCAGCAACCACATGCAAAGCAGAGCTTCCTGCGGGGCTGGAGGAAGCCAGGAGAGCCTCCAAGAGCAGCTGTTCCCAGCTCCCACTTCTGCCCCTGCCTGAGAAACACCTCTGATCTTAGCTGTTCCTCATGGCTAAACGGGAGGCAAGAGCATCAGGGGACAGAGAGGACACAGAGCTGGCTGTGGGAGAGAAGGGTGCACAGGGCATGTGGCATGGAAGAGGACTCAGTCCCTGCCTTCAAAAGAGGGGGAATCCCAAGCAAGTCATAAAGTCCTTTGGCCTGAGGGACCAGGGCACTCGCCTGTGTTGGGGGTAATGGCCCAGCATGGAGTGGGCAGTGGCTTCTCCCTCACTGTGGCAGGGCAGTCTGGCCCCAGGTCCACCTGAACACAGCCTTCTGCAGCCCATTGTGCCACCAGCCTCAGCAGGGACAGGAAACAGATCCAGAATTCTGGGACCATTTCTTGAACTGAGGGATGCCCATCAGAGGTCAAAAGAAGAGAAAAGAGCACAATCAAAGCACATAGCAGTCCCGCTCTCAACAAACAGCCGTGTCTTTGGGAGTAGCCTGCCCAAAGACATGTGGTCACCCTGCCGGTCAGGCTGAGAGCCTGGCAGCTGGTGCTGAGGGAGTACGAAGGGCCCCAGTTAGCCAAGATTTGCTGCTTGCTTTATCCATTCCCCAGTCTTCCAAAGAACATTTGAAGCAAATGAGAATATTAAAACGCAGAGAATGGGATAATTAAAATAAAAATTAAAAGTGCAATCAATGCCAGGTGCAGTGGTTCACACCTGTGATCCCAACACTCTGGGAGGCCGAGGTGGGCAGATTGCCTGAGCTCAAAAGTTCAAGACCAGCCTGAGCCAGAGTGAGAGACCCCATCTCTAAAAGTAGCCAGGTGCTGTGGCAGGCACCTGTAGTCCCAGCTACTCAGGAGGCTGAGGCAAGGGGATCACTTAAGCCCAAGACTTTGAAGTTGCTGTGAGCTGTGATGTCAGGGAACTCTATTGAGGGTGACAAAAAAAAAAAAAGTGCAATCAAATCATTAGAAAGATAAAGAATACTGTTCTAGAAAGCTAGATTGGAATAATCACTGCATTGGAACCTGATTCCAGCCTTGAGTTTTCTAATAACAATTCCCATTTTTTTAGCACCAATGATACATCTGGTACTTTACATTGAAGCATCCTAATCCACACAGCAGCTGTGTGACCCAGGAGTAATTATTCCCCTGGTGAGATGCACTTGTAGGGGCTTGGTAAGGGTAACTATACTGAATAGAAACCCGGGACCATCAGGCTCCAAAACATGTTTACACAACCACATGTTGCCTCTAAACTTATAAAGCCCTACAAAAAGCATGCAGAGTTTTCAAGAGAACCAAATATTTTCCTGGTATTAAATTTTAGGGGGAATGCAATCCTCATGTTGAATAACATCAGATAATCCCTTCCACTCAAATCCTGTGAGGAGATGGCCAGGGCAGACTTGAAATGCCTAGCCCTCACCGGAAGCTCCAGGAAAAGCTGAGGGTATAACCTCATACTTCAACTCAGGGAAGTTATTTCGGTGGGGAAATGGGTCCACATTGTCCAAGAGTCGTGTTCTCCGATTGTCTAACCAAATAAAGCAACGGAACCTAGAGACACAGTGGGCTCCTTGGATGATCTCACACTAGATGACTGAGCAACATTTTTTTTAGGTATGGGAAAGCAATCAATCAAAGAAGAAATTCATTCTCTCAGGAGATTACTGAGTGCCACCCCTGAGTAATGAAATTTAAGGATCCCAATTAGGATTCAACCCCAGAAAAACAGCACATACTTCACGGGACAGGGCTCACAGCGGCAGCACAAAATTGTTTCTCAAAAAAGATATTGGAATCTGCTCAACTAGTAAACAAGTATTTGGGAGAGCTCCCTAATATTCTGTGCCTTAAATACTGGAGAGATTATTTAGAGCAGAAAAATTGTTACTCAGTTGCCTCCACTAAGAAAAGAACCATGAAGCTGGATGAGATGGCTCACACCTATAATCCTGGTGTTCTGGGAGGCTGAGGCCAGTGGATTGCTTGAGCTCAGGAGTTCCAGACTAGCCTGAGCAAGAGTGAAACCCCCTCTCTAAAAATAGCTGGGCATTGCGGCAGGTGCCTATAGTCCCAGCTACTTGGGAAGGTAAGGCAAGAGGATCATTTGAGCCCAAGAGTTTAAGGTTACTGTGAGCTATGATACCACAGCACTCTACCCAGGGCCACAAAGTGAGACTCTGTCTCAAAAAAAAAAAAAAAGAAAGAAAGAAAGAAAGAAAAGAACCATGGCCAGGTGCAGTGGCTCATGCCCGTAACCCCAGGGTTTTGGGAGGCCAAGGCAGGAGGATTGTTCGAGGCCAGGAGTTGGAGACCAGCATGGGTAACATAATATAACCCTGTCCCTAAAAACAAAATAAAACTAAAGAACCACCATAGGATCCTTTTAAGTATCTGATATTGTAAACTCATATTGATTCCTCTCCATAGTTACAGGGAGTTAGCTGTTATGACTCTGAGAAGCTGAAAGAATTAAACCACAATTTAGGCTGTATATTGTCCACTTGAACAAGAAATAAGGCCCACTACAGGTGACCAACCATCACTGACCCAAAACTAGGCTCTGCTCATGAGAGACCAGAGAGAAGGCAGCAGCTGTCCCCCTGCATTGGTGGATGGGCACATGTCTGCACACTTCTAACTGCTGAGAAAAGTGTGGCAGCAAGCCTCAAACACTTTTCTCTTCTGCCTGTTTAAAACTGGCATAGGATCTGCCTCAAGCCTATTTCTGCTCACTCTGGCTCTTGCGGTGAGATTGAGGTCTGGGCTTTCAGGAAGCCAGCTGGAGGTGTAGAGACAGTGGATTGTAGACATGTGGGTACAGACCCTCACCACAGAGGAAGGCTCAAACCCACAGACAGATATTTGCCATGGAGCCCCAGAAGCTCCTCGATGGACCCTGTCAACACCCCTGGCTTGGCTGCCTCCTTCTATCTGCAGCACGGGTGAACACCAAGAACAGCCTTTACTGTGTTGTCTGTTTCTTTATTGAGCTAACGTGGAACATCTATAGCTATTTGCAGCAGAGACATGGACTTTCATAGGTTGGGTCCTGCTGGCAACTGCTCGGTGACTTTCCAACAAGCTGTCTACCAGTGGTCTGAGGGAGTTCCCGTTTCTCCATCTCCTGCCAACGTGTGGGATTGTGAGACATTTTGCTTCTGCCAATGCAATGTGTGATAAATGATCTATCACGGTTACTTTAACTTTCATTTCCCTGGTTACTAGTGAACTTGAGGATCCTTTCATGTTCATTCGCCCCACTATTCCTCTTTTTTCCTCCATTGTCCATTTTCCTATGGTGTATACTTTCTTTCTACTTGTATGAACCTTTGCATATTCTTCATATTAATCCTTTATCTTTTGTATATGCTGTGCAAATATTCACTGCAAGTCTAACTAACACACATCTTTTACCTTTATTTGTAATGTTTTGGGGGCCTACAGAAGTTTTTACTCTTGTGTAGTCAAAACATGGCATTCTACCAAAAGGTGACAAAGTGAGACTCTATCTCAAAAAAAAAAAAAGGGTTGCTTTAAACGACGCACCATGTTAATAAAAACACCGAGTGACATTTCTGCCTCTGAGTAGAGCATTAATATAAACAAATACAGTTGAACCTCCATAGTTGACCACCTCCTTACGTTGACCTGATTTTCATACACTGGCCATGCAGCACACATACAGATCAGTACATTAGCCTATACCTCACGTTGACCACCTCTAGATGTTGACTGTTTTGTTACAGTCCCCGGGGTGGTCAGCTTACAGAGATTCCACTGTCATTACCGCCACATGATAATGTTAGGCTTCTCGACCTCAGTGTTATTGATTTGCAGCTGGATAATTCCAGGCTGTGGGGCTGTCTTGTGCCCTGTAGGATGTTCCACTGCATCCCTGGGCCACCACAAAGCTACCTGGAGCACACCTGCCCCCACCGTGACAACTAAAGATGTCCCCAGACATTAGAAAATATTTCCTTGGAAAAGCTGCCCCTGGTTGAAAACTGCTGGATTGGAGGGACAGCCAGGTGCATAAGCTGAGAAAGACTTACCAGGGAAACGACGGCTTGGCTGACTTTACAGGATGAAGTGGTTAGTGTTCCAGGTGAAGAAGTCTGGGGTTCTCGGACATTCCAAGTGGAGGAAAAATCTAGGCATAGATTCAGAGCACAAGGAAGCATGACATGATCCCCATGGCTGGGACTAAGGCACCTGGTAAACTCACCCAGCTCCCGAAAAACTTGGAAAGCATTCTTTTCTTTTTTTTTAAACAGAGTCTCACTCCATCACCCTGAATAGAGTGATGTGGTATCACAGTTCATAGCAACCTCAAGTGATCTACCTACCTCAGCCTCCCAAGTAGCTGGGACTACAGGCACCTGCCATGACACCAACCTAATTTTTCTGTTTTTAGTATAGACCAGGTCTCACTCATGCTCAGGCTGGTCTCGAACTCCTGAGCTCAAGGGATCCTCCCTCCTTGGCTCCCAGAGTGCTAGGATTACAGGCGTGAGCCACCATGCCCAGCCTTAGAAAGCATTCTTTAAAAAGTACTCACATTTGGCAGTGCCCATAGCTCCGTGGGTAGAGTGCTGGCCACATATACTCAGGCTGGTGGGTTTGAACCTGGCCCAGGGCCTGCTAAACAACAATGATGACTGCAACAAAAAAATAGCTGGGCTTTGTGGTGGGCACTGTAGTACTAGCTACTTGGGAGGCTGAGGCAAGAGAATTGCTTAAGCCCAAAAGTTTGAGGTTGCTGTGAGCTGTAAGCTGTGACGCCACAGCACTCTATTCAG